AAAGTTTTTTAAAAAGCTTACATTTCTAAAAAAATCAAAACACCGGGAAAAAAAATTTATTGCGTATGTGTCATGATTGATAAATTTATGTTATTAATGTGATCAGGTAATTATTCCTAATAAGCTCCGGATGGTCTGAAAAAAGGATGGTCTGAAACTTAATAAAGAAAAAACTTTCTAAGACAGTCCTGCTATTCGAGAAAGTGCTGCTGTGAAGGCAAAAAAAAAAAAAGCCCGTAGCTAGGAAAAACTTTCTTTTCACAATGAAAAGTTTTTTTTGCTACATTTATGTTTTTACTATAAATATGTGCTGCAGCCGTTTTTCAAAACGCTTTAATATGCTTATTATCTATTTCGAGAAAAAAGTCAATTAAAAAAATATATATATAAAAAAAAATTAAAAATTAACTCTTTGTAAAACCTTTTTTGAAACGAATAATTTTTAGGAACTTTTTCAGAACTCTTTGAAAATATGTATTTAATAACGTTTGTAGACATATAAACTAACTCATTTTGTAAAAAGGTTAAAATTGATATTTTTTACTTAAAGGCGTTTTGAAAAATGGCTGCAGTATGGATGATACAACGAATATGTTGAAATGAGATAATTTTGACGCAAAATTTAAGAGCTCCTAACAAAAGCCGCTAAACCAAAATAATTAAAAGTAATTGGACTTAAAAATTTTAATATATTGCGTTGGTGTTTGCATAGAAACATATAAATCATTTTTTAATTTTAATATAAACTAAAATTTTTTTAAACTTTGTTGCGCTTAACCATCGCTATATTAACAATGTATATATAAACAAATATGTTATTTGTTTAAATATATTGTTTATAAAATGCAAAAAATTCACTTATATAACGTTTTATTCAAGATCGTATGTAATATAAGTAAACTTTTCAAATAATTACAAGTCTTTTTTGCTCAAGCTGTTTTATTTTGATTTTTTGTTATTATGTTATTAAATTTTAAAAAATTGATAAGATTGAAAAAACACGAAACATATTTTCACATCCAAGTGGAAAATCTGAAACTTCAACTTTAGATTTGTCCGTCTTTCGATAATTTCTGATTGCTAAAATTACGTCATTTGTTTCAAAATGATAGTCATAGAAATAAAATTTTGTTTCCATTTTTTTAAAAAACTTTTTCTATTAAAGAAATATATTGAAATATATTTTTATGGGATATATTCTAATAAAGACAAAACTATTTATTTATTACTACATTCCCTACTTAAATTACAAATTGTAATTTAAGTAGGCCATGATTACTATTATAATAAATACAATCTCTTATCCGTGAAATTGATATAACTGTACAAGTTTTATAAATTTTTATGCATTTGTATGCAGCATTATTAAATTTAATTTAAAAAATGTAAGATAAATGCAAAAAACGTTACGTACAAACGTCTATAAGTGAAAATGTCTTCAGCATATGTTGAGTTTACAGGCATTATATGTAATATTCGCGTATACCCATATATCTATAAAATGAGAAAACTTGAAAATTTTATTTTAAATTTTATTTTATCTTATATATTATCTTATATATCTATAAAATGAGAAAATTTAAAAATTTAATTTTAACATTTATAAATCTTTTTTGGTATATTATTATTTTCTTGCGATAAATATATAAGTAAGATTTAAAAAACTTCAAAATTTATTACGCTATCGGTAAAAAGCGAACTGCGAACCGCGAACTGCGAACCGGTAAAATGCGAGCTTTTTTGCGAACCAAAACCTTATATTTTAAAGACCATTATTGTTATGATAAAAATAATAATAAAAAAATTTCTCTAATTCTTAATTATCTATTTTAAAGCTTTATTTAAAATAAAATTTTTATTTTTAAACTGTAAAACATGCGCGGAGTGTTGCTACATTGACCATCTTATAGCCTGACTCGCAACGGAGTGCTGCTAATTCGACTGAGGGTTTGGTTTGGGCAGGCAGTCTATCAAATAATTTAAAAACTATATTTTTTTTTATTCATTTGTCTAGTTTCCTTTTATTATTTTTGATTAATTTTTTCGCTTAAAAGTCCTTAAAATATACCGTTAAATAAACTATTTAACGGAAATAATACATTACATCATAAACGATGGTTCGCAAAAAAGTTCGGATTTTAACAGTTTGCGGTTCGCAGTTCGCATTTTACCTAGTACCCCACAATAACACTGATGACAGCGCACTTAACCACTGAGCTTTCAATGAAATTCATTTAGCAGAAAAACAAACCTAATTATAAGTCTCTTATAAGCTCTACGTATGCGGAAAACGTACTCATGGTAATTTTTTGCTCTAAAGGATTTTTTTTTAATAAATTTTTTTCCTAAAAAATATTGAAGTATAGTAGTTATAGAAGTAATCGGTGAGGAATAGATATGTAAATTTTAAAGACCTGTATTTTACGGATCCAGAAAGCTAGGTTATATTAATAAAAAGTAAAGAAAAGTTCGGTTTGGAATATTTTTACGGGTTCGATCTCAGCTAGTTATTATAATTATTATTAAATAACTTATTTGTAACGTTTTTTAAACAAGTTATAAAGCGTTAAGTCATAACATATTCTTAAAAATCTTTTTATGACTGTGGTCATTTTTCCTCAACAAAAGAAACTTTTTTGTTGTTGTTTATTTATAACTCTTTCTAAATGGAGTAAAATGATGTTATTTAGATGACCAAGTATTTAAAAAAATGCAAGCATATACCAAAAAAAGTTTTTCAAATTGGTCTTACAGTTGTAATCATTTATGTAAAAACGACTTTTGTAAAAACAATAACACTACGATAACTTATTTAAAAAATTATGTTATATTTACTCACCGAAGATATTATAAATATTATAAACATAATTATTGTATTAGTATTGTAAATATTAGAAACATTAAAATATATTAAAACTCCAATTTCTTTATAGCTTCTTTTTTAACTTTGCGAATATACCAAACATGTCGTATCTTTTGAAGAAAAACTGTTATATATTGCAAATAAAAACCTTATATTATGTTTCAGAAAAGTTTATTGCATTGAGTTTCTTTTATATGGCTTTATGAATGCTTAAAAAAACTGAGAAGAACAATTTAGCATATTTGACATACAAAAAAGTCAAATAAAAAAAAAAAAGAACATAAAAGAAAAGAAACCTCGAAATAGCAATAAAAGTGTGGGCGCAAAAATGACGTATATATACGTATAAATAACAGTTGGGCTGAAAAGTTCGTATCGTTTCTAAGAAATGGCGCCACTAGTATTAAATTCATACCATTTTTAGTTAGTACCAACCTTGAAAAGATACGTGTACAAATTTGACAGCTGTCAGATTATTAGTTTGTGATATATTGCTCTAGTAGTGACGCTACTTTTGTTATTGTGAAAAAAATGGAAAAAAAAGAATTTCGTGTGTTGATGAAACATTACTTTTTAATGAAAAAAAGTGCTGCCGATACCAAAAAATGGCTTGATGAGTGTTATCCAGACTCTGCACCAGGCGAAGCAACAATTCGTAGATGGTTTGCAAAATTCCGTACTGGTCATATGAGCACCGAAGACGATGAGCGCAGTGGACGCCCAAAAGAGGCTGTTACCGATGAAAATGTGAAAAAAATCCACAAAATAATTTGAATGATCGTAAAGTGAAGTTGTTGGAGATAGCTGACACCTTAAAGATATCAAAGGAACGCGTTGGACATATTATTCATAAATATTTGGATATGAGAAAGCTCTGTGCAAAATAGGTGTCGCGTGAACTCACAATCGATCAAAACCAACAACGAATTGATGATTCTGAACAGTGTTTGGAGCTGTTACATCGAAATAGAACCGATTTCTTTTGTCGATACATAACAATGGATGAAACATAGCTCCATCACCACACTCCGGAGTCCAATCGACAGTCAGCTGAGTGGACTGCACGCGATGAACCGACTCCAAAGCGTGGAAAGACTCAACAATCGGCTGGGAAGGTTATGGCCTCTGTTTTTTGGGATACGCATGGTATAATTTTCATCGATTACCTTGAGAAGGGAAAAACCATCAATAGTGACTATTATATTGCGTTATTGGAGCGTTTGACGGATGAAATTGCAAAAAAACGACCTCATTTGAAGAAGAAAAAAGTTCTGTTTCATCAAGACAACGCACCGTGTCACAAGTCAATGAATACGATGCTTAAATTGAACGAATTGGGCTTCGAATTGCTTCCTCACCCACCGTATTCTCCAGATTTAGCCCCCAGTGACTTTTTCTTGTTCTCAGATCTCAAGAGAATGCTCGCTGGTAAAAAATTTAAGAGCAATGAAGAGGTGATCGCTGAAACTGAAGCCTATTTCGAAGCAAAGGACAAATCGTACTACAAAAATGGTATCGAAAAGTTGGAAGATCGCTATAATCGCTGTATCGCCTCTGATGGAAACTATGTTAAATAATAAAACCGAATTTTGAAAAAAAAATGTGTTTTTCTAATAAACGATACGAACTTTTCAGCCCAACTGTTACGTTTAAACCAAATTAAGGATAAACTAGATAGTTTGAACTATAAACTAGACTATAAAGGGCAAGTCTGTTTTATAGACGTTTAAAACAAGTTTTGCGCCCACCGGAAAGCTAAACTGAAACAAAATGAAGTCTATTGTATCTTTATTACAGTTATGAATACTAATTTTTTGTGATTTTATAACAAAAAAAGGCTTACATAAATCATTTTTTTTTAGGTAAATAAATTATTATTAAAGTAATTTTAGTTTGACTTTTTTTAACTGTTGAAAGTAGGACAACTTTACTTTTGCCAAAAACAACTAAATTTGAAAAAATAAAAAAGAATCTGACATAAAAATTAATTTAAGTTAAAATATAGATTCTGATATATTTTGTACCAATTAGAGCATTTACAAAATCTTTGAAATGAAAATTCTTCAAAAGTTTTTTTCGGTTGCAAATGCGCAAAACGAGTTTTAAAAATCGGTAACCAATCAACCGTCAAACGTTGTTTGTCGAATGTTTTTTATTTTTTATTTTTTTTTTGTTTCTCATATATACTTTGAATTTTGTTAGTAAATTTTGTGAAGAATTTGGTTTTATTGCAATAACTAGAGATGAGTTTTTAACCAAAACATTTTCGAAACCAAAAATAACAATGTTGTCTTTATTAATCATAATAGTAATTTATGGGTTTCATGTAAATGCTCAACGAAACATGCGAAACATGTATTTAGATGATCCTAAAGGTGTTATAACAGGGAATAAGCGAATGATTGACCAAGTTGCAGAATTTACTGATTTGGGTTACGATTATGAAAACGGAAATATATGGCCAAAGCCACAGCATGAATCAAGGTCAGACAAACTTTACACCCTTGATCCAAAAACCTTTAAGTTTGTATTTAAAGAAAAAAATTGGATTATAAAAAAAGCAATAAATCGCTATAAAAAACTCACATTTCCAAACGAACATTTTCGAGTTGACAAAAAACTCAAACAAATTAATACTATTGATATATCTATAGAAGATCTAAACGAACCACTGACATTAGAAAGCAACGAATCGTACATTCTAAAAATATCTTACCCTCGATCTACTTTAGAAGCTAAAAGTATATGGGGGGCACTTAGAGGATTGGAAACTTTTTCACAAGTTGTTCACAGAAATGGCTCATCGTATGTAGCAAGTGAAACTGTTGTTCGAGACTTTCCTCGTTTTAAATATAGAGGATTTTTAATCGACACGTCTCGTCACTTTCTTCCTGTATCACAAATATTTCAGATTTTAGACGCGCTTGCTTACAGTAAATTTAACGTTCTTCATTGGCACATCGTGGATGATCAATCATTTCCTTTTGTCAGCAAAAAATTTCCCGAGCTGCATAAAAAAGGGGCGTTTAATGAAAAGACACATGTTTATAATCCAAAACAAGTGCAAGATATTATTCACTACGCAAAGTTGCTAGGAATCAGAGTCGTACCTGAATTCAACACACCAGGTAAAATATAATTTACATATTTATAACCATGCTTTGTTAATAATGCATAACTAGAAAGCAAAATATGAATGTATGTATGTATGTATGTATGTAAGTATGTATGTATGTATGTATGTATATATGTATGTATGTATGTATGTATGTATGTATGTATATATGTATGTATGTATGTATGTATGTATGTATGTATGTATGTATGTATGTATGTATGTATGTATGTATGTATGTATGTATGTATGTATGTATGTATGTATGTATGTATGTATGTATGTATGTATGTATGTATGTATGTATGTATGTAAGTATGTATGTATGTATGTATGTATGTATGTAAAATATAGTATACATACATACATACAAACATACATACATACATACATACATACATACATACATACATACATACATACATACATACATACATACATACATACATACATACATACATACATACATACATACATACATACATACATACATACATACATACATACATACATACATACATACATACATACATACATACATACATACTTACATACATACATACATTTCGTTATATATAAAAGAGAAAAATATATTACCAAAATCCATAATCAACTGAAATATTTGAATAAAAAGAAATTCTCATAAATTATGCAAATATATACAAACTTGCAAACACAACGTTAATTCACTGTATATAATCCAACGTTATTTCAATATATATGGATAAACGTTAATCCAATGTATAAAATCTAACGTTAGTCCATACACATGTGCCTTATAAATATTGGATCAACGTTAATCCATATACATTGGACTAATATGGAATTATACACTTTTGGTCAACGTTGATCCATATATATTGGATCAACGTTTGGTTTTGATCGGAAAAAACAACCAACTTTTGCGATATTTCTACATACGTGAAACCAATATAATTTTTCTAACTATTTTTAATCACGTTGTTATTAAGGTTTTTATTAAAATAAGTGTTAAAAAACTAACATTGGATCAACGTTTGCATCGGAGAAAACAGCCGATGTTTTCGATATACTTACATACGTTTGCTCAACGTGAGTGTGTTACCTAAGAGATGATATAATAGAAAATAAGGTTATAAAAAAGTCTAGATCAAACCTACTTTAAATAATATTACCTAATTTAAATAATAATACTAACTAATAATAATACTAACCTAATTTAGCTAATTACTAATAACTAATTATAAAAACTAATAATAAAACTATTTTAAATAATAATAGTCAGAGCCGTAGCTAGGCTACTATAAATATCCCTCTCCCCAGTTAGGCCTGGAGTTAAGGAGCAAATTTAGGGGGCCCATTTGCAAATTTAAGGGCCCTTAAATTTGAAATTTTTTTTTTTTTTTTATAAGGTCTAGAGAAAATTTCTTTAACAATTGGACCCCTATTTTCTTTTTAAAAAATTGGCGACCAACAAACCACGCCACCAATAATAACACCCTATAAATAAAATTTCGGACAAATTTTAATTGTGTTTATTATGTAATTTATTTCATGCAAGCAAAAAACCTTTATACTTATTTAAAAGAGAATTTTATAATCTATTTATATTTAATTTAATTAAGTTAAAAATATTATTTAAATATTGAAAATAAAATGGTCTAAGTAAAGGACCTCAAAAAAATGATGGAAATTTTTTTCCAAAAAAATCGAGAAAAAGGTAAAGAGTTTGTTGCTAAGCAGTTTATGGAATGGGATTTACCCAGATCAACTACTTACGATAAAATCGTAAAATTGAAGAATGAATCTCTAAAAAGAAAAGTTGGAAGTGGGCAAATAGCTAAGGTAGCTACTAAAAAAATATTCCAAAGATTGCTGCATTTATTGAAAATAAGTCAGGGTGCTCCCAAAAGAAAGTAGCTTAAGTGTTTAACTGTAACTAAAGTCGAATTTACCAAGTATTAAAAACAATTACTAACATTCGAACTTTCGAAAAAATAAACTGTCCAGATCGTAGCCATCAGCAGAAAAAAGCTGTGTGTCCTAAATGTCGTAAATTGTACGAAAATTATGAAAACTTGGATTTTGTTATAGATGATAAAAGCTATTTTACCTTAAACAATAGCACATTAGCTGGTAATGATAGGTTTTATGCCGCTGATCCTTCTCAATGTTCTGACAAGGTAAGATAAAATTTGTGTAAAAAGTACGAGGACAAGCTCGTAGTTTCTTGTTGCATCAGCCCCCGTCTAGTTTCTTGTTGCATCATCCCCCGTCGATAAGTCCTCTTTATATTCATCACATTAAGAAGGCAATCAACCAGTACACTTATAAAGAGATACTAGAAAAATCTTAACTTCCTTTAGTATCAGAATATTATAAAAAAGACAATGAGTTTATCTTCTGGCCTGATTTAGCTCGATCACATTACGCAAAGTTGGTCATCGACTTTTTAAAATTGAAAAAAATCAAAGTTGTACCCAAAGATATAAACCCAGCTAACGTTTTAGAAGCAAAACTAATTGAAAACTTTTGGGGTGATTTAAAACGGCTAGTGTACGAGAATAATTGGAGAGCTGAGAATTTAGAAGAGCTTGAAGCAAGGATTAGATATTACTATTCAAAGATGAATAAAGAAATTTTTCTTACTCAAATAAAACATCTTTCAAAAAAACTTTATAATATTGCTAAATATGGTATTTGAAATAATTATTTTAATATATTTAAAAACTACATATACTTACATATTAACAGTTGAAATATTAAATTATAAAACTTATTAGTTCTTAAAATATTAATTTTTAAATTTTGTCCAAAATTTTATTTATGAGGTGTTACTTTTTGACTTTTTCAAAGTTTATTATATTTTCCTGCCCTTTATTACTTATTGATTTTAAACTCACTTGACTGATTTTGAACTCATTGAAAAAACTTTTTTTTTGACACTATGTACTGTATTAAAAGAGAGTATATAAACAAACTTTTAAAATGAGCTCAGTAACCCATAAAAAACGGCAAAAAAAAGACAAAAAAAAACTGTTATATCCATCCTGTTCAAAAGCTTGACGAGTGATGCGATGGTAAAGGAAACAAGGAGTTTTTGTGAAACTGCCTTTAATAAAAAAGTTGACGAGGAGATACCATTTTGATCTACAATAACCTCTAATATAAGCAAAAAACAGTTAGCTTTAAAAAATCTCTATTAATATCTTTTGTCTTTATAGTTGTATACAGTGGCGGAACTACCATACCACAAAACACTGGGGGGAGGGGGATGTCTAGAGCTGTAGGGGGCATTATCAATCATTATCAATTTTAAAAATTTCAATCCTGTATTAAAGTAACGTCTGACCAAAAATCAAAAGAAATAAAATATAAAATAACAACAAACTGATCAAAAACAGTAATTAATAAAATGTAGAAAAACACCTCTTCGTGATGGGGGTCTAAAAAATATTTTGCGGGGGAGGGAGGAAATTTTGAAGTTTCGCCACTGGTTGCATGATTCCTTTTAGACGTTTTAAAAACGTTCTAGAAAATTATGTAAGTTTATTGAAAGGTCTTGAACGTTTTCAAAAATTTCCGACTTTTTGTAAAACTTTTGCAATTCAAAAATATTCTAGAAAAATGCTCAGTGTTCAATACAAATTAAAAATTTTCCCAAAAACTCGAAAATTTTAAAACATTGTTGTCCCGGTCACACAAATAAAGTTTTTACGGAACAACAGCTATTTTCTATTAGCTTTCATCAAAACTGTTAATATAACATAATCGGCTCCTGCTTGATTTGACAAGTTATATAACTAAAATCTAACCTTATTTAAATACTAAGTAATATTCTCATATTTGATTTTTTTACAATTGTATTCTGTATTTTTCTCAGATTCACTTTATTCAATTATATTCGGATTTATTTCAATATTAAGTTTTTTAAAAGTAATTTGAGAACTTGTTAATCAAAATTGCTTTTGAGAGTTTTTTAAAATTAACCAAAGCGGTTATTCTGGTATCAAGTTCGTATTTAGGCGTATTTATACCAATTAAGTTTTGCGTGTCTAAGACAGTACTGGGTAAAAGCTTAAAAGTTAAAAATTAATAATAAGGATTAAAAAGAATGATTTTGAGAATCAAAATATGACTAAAGTATTTTGTTAAAATTAGGACACACACATTCATGGAACGGAATTCCTGGTCTTTTGACAGAGTGCAGTTCAACAAATCAAAGAGAGAAGGCTTTTGAAGATATGAAAGGTCCAATTAATCCAATTAAAAATGCAAGCTACGTGTTTTTAAAAGACTTTTTTGCAGAGGTATGTTTCACAAATAAATAAATAAAAATGAATATATATATATATATATATATATATATATATATATATATATATATATATATATATATATATATATCGCTCAGTGGGCTAAAACCTGTATATATATATATATATATATATATATATATATATATATATATATATATATATATATATATATATATATATCGCTCAGTGGGCTAGAACCGGTATATATATATATATATATATATATATATATATATATATATATATATATATATATATATATATATATATATATATATATGTATAAATATATATATATATATATATATATATATATATATATATCGCTCAGTGGGCTAGAACCGGTATATATATATATATATATATATATATATATATATATATATATATATATATATATATATATAAGATAAGATAAGATTAATTTAAAATGTTGATTTACTTATTATCTCCAAAAATAAATATTTTAAATATTTATTTTTAGAGATAATAAGTAAATTTTTTTTTTTTTTAAAAAAAAAACTCAAAAAAGCCATTTTAAATATTTTTTTTGAGTTAGAATAGTTAATAGTTAATACACTAAATAATTTTCTTAAATTTATTTAGTGTATTAATATACACTAAATAAATTTAAGAAAATTGTACACTAATGTGTACAACTTAAAATTTTTTTTAATTAAATAAAAACAAATCATGCACATGTATTTTTCCGCTAATCAATCATTGAGATTGTTAAGAAGTATTGTTTTGAAAAGTATTTTTAAGATAAATTTTATATAACCCTTTTTAAAAAAATGTTTCTTAAAATACAGTACAAAATTTTAAATTTATTTTATTAAGACAGTAAAATATTTTTTCATCCACCACACCGCAGCGAAAATAATTTATTTGAAAAAATATGTCCACCAGAAACGGTTTGCATTTTCGAAACCGCAATACTTTGAATAATTATTAACTAAATTTTAAAAAATAATCTGTCACTGTTTTTTAAAAAACAAAAAGGTTAAACGGGCAGACCATGGTATTTTGGTGTTTTGATAGGTTACTTTCTGTGATGGTGCAAACTTTAAATTTTGTAATATTAATAATGACATCAAATAGGAATGTTTTATAAAATATTATAAGGATAGGAGCCTGGGAACAATATTTGCCTGAAAAAACGGGACCCACTGTCCCAAATGTGGGAAAATTAATTTATCTAAAAAAAAATTTCTTATCGTTTAAATATGGCAACCAAGGAAAGTTTGAAACCCTCTTTTCGAGGGGGTTGTCAACTTTACGAAGTCATAACTTTTGAACATTAAAATAGTTTTTTAGTATTTGAGAATTTTACAGATGAATTTTCATAATGGTGGAGTGCTACTATTGCCTCCTTCCCTAAAAAATATTTGGATTTTAGGGCCCTAATTTGAGGATATTATTGTTTTCAACCTCTGATTATCAGGATTTTTTTAAACATTTGTATTTGTGTGAATTTACATATCTGCAGGTTATTTACATATCTGCAGGTTATTTACATATCTGCAGGTTATTTACATATCTGCAGGTTATTTACATATCTGCAGGCTATTTACATATCTGCAGGTTATTTACATATCTGCAGGTTATTTACATATCTGCAAGTTATTTACATATCTGCAGGTTATTTACATATCTGCAGGCTATTTACATATCTGCAGGTTATTTACATATCTGCAGGTTATTTACATATCTGCAGGTTATTTACATATCTGGAGGATATTTACATATCTGGAGGTTATTTACATATTTGGAGGTTATTTACATATCTGCAGGTTATTTACATATCTGCAGGTTATTTACATATCTGCAGGTTATTTACATATCTGCACAGGGGCGGACTGGCCAAATTATTATGATGTGGAAAAATATTTTTAACGGCCCTGTAGGCCAACGAAAAATGAGGAAAAGCAGCAAAGATAACAGACGTAAATTACAAAGTTATGCTTAATTTATAAATATATACATTAATGAATAAATATCGAACAGAAAAAATTTATTAGAATACATATACGTAAAAACAAAGTACTTAACAACGGCCCATGTGGAATAGTCCACATCTTCCACATGGCCAGTCCGCCCCTGTATCTGCAGGTTATTTACATATCTGCAGGCTATTTACATATCTGCAGGTTATTTACATATCTGCAGGTTATTTACATATCTGGAGGTTATTTACATATCTGGAGGTTATTTACATATATGGAGGTTATTTATCTTGAACAATAAAAAATCTTGAAACTGAATTTTTAATATATGTTCAATTGTTTTTCAATTAGAGAATGGTTTAAACGACACAAATTATTAATTATTTATTTCCATTTACAATCAATAGTAGTTTCTAAAAGATACACATATATATTATAACATATTTAATTTTAAATTAAAACTGTTTTATGAAGGTATGTCAGGAGTTGTACGTAACAGTGGCTTTAGGCAGGCTTAGTGGATAATCTTTATCGCTACTAGAAACTTTAAATCCGCTCTCCCAAAACTGTTTGAAATCATAATGAACAGGTTCAGAAGCCTGTTCAGAACAAAAACCTAATCCTTTATTTGGATTGGAATTTGACATCAGTGAAAGAAATTCACATGTATGGTTGACAAGAGTATGCAATTTTGGTGACCTTGTAGAACAAGTTTAGCATAAGCATCTTTTTAATCGTTAATGGTTGACTCATTTTCAGGTAACAAACTAAAACCAAGACATTAACAAATTTTATCTTTTTCCAGTTTGAAAGATTTTGTTATTAAATATTAATTCTCTTAAAACATGAATATTTTTTAGCAGTTCGAACATTCTCCGCCTTTAAATTGACCACCATGCAGCTTAGGCCTTTGAAAACCTAAAATTTGGTTCTACTGGTTTGCCGATAAAATCGTATTCATAGATTGCAAATATTTTTCAAGATTATTACAAATTTTCTGTATTTCCACGAAGCAGTTCCATTTGAGTAAGGATTTCAATAACTTTTACGTCATCAGGCAGATCAACTAGTGGAAGGTTAACGCAATTAATAAAAGATGCAGCTAAAAGCTTGGGTTTTTTTAACCTTTACAGGCGCTTTTTTAAGCTTTAGCTGATAAACAGTGATACTTCTAAGAGTTCTGAGCTCACCATGATTTTCAAATCTTGCATTTTTTTTTTTGCTAATGTTATGCCTAGGGCAAGGATGCGTTGATGCTGCACTTTCAATTCCAAAAATATATATATCAGTTTTATATCACAAAATTTAAAACTATTTATCTTTAAAATAGTTATAATTTTCTTTAGATTTTAATGAGATTCAGCCACGTTTTCTGTTAAGCCAATAATAAACAATTTGTTTACGCCACCATCATGTATTTTTCATTCCTATTCTATCCTCATAGCTTAATTTTTTTTTTTTTTTAACATTACTTTCTGTCACTTTTTCTACAATATTTAAACAAATAATTGTCTTCCATTCCAGCTTTTAAACATGCTAAGAACTTTGGCTCCCTTTTAATTACTATGTCCGCAAGTACTTTTTAAATTTGTTTAACGGCAATGGCTTTACTTGTAGATGCAACCTTAATTTTAGTTCTCTCTTTTTTATTTTTTTTTTTCGGCAGAAGTTCGGCACCTTGTCTATCTTAATATCAAAAGAATTTTACATCCATATTTTCAGTTTTTATAATTCAAATATTTTATATAAATTTCAAAAACAAAAAGTTCGTCCTACCTCTGTTAAATTTGTTCTTCTCGTTGTGAGAGTGCACGGGTGGGGTAATCCTCTTCCAATGATAACCCTACAACTTTTACATCTTTTTTTATTTTTTCAGGTGATAATCTCTTTACTCTTCCCAACTTGATTCCCAGCTTCCCTCTATTTTCAGATGTTGATCAACAGTAATTGTAGTTCGTTTCACAAATGTCACACACACACAGATTAATTGGTTTTTGGTAAGTATACTTACTTTGACTTTTGAGAAAACATACGGTTTACTCAGAATAATGTTTTTATCTCCTTTTTCAAATCTTTCTAATGCTTTTCTACATTTAGTACAAATCCCATTAGAAAAGTTTTCGTTGTTCAAATCAAATGACTTTAAAAAGAACTTAATTATTTTTATTCGATGTCACACTTCCTTCTTTAACTTTTGTCAACCCTGATCCTTTTGAAAAACAAATTAGGCAAACCAAAGCTCTATTATCTTTATGAGAGTTTTTTATGTTTGGTATTTTAAAACGATATGAGCAATTCTAATCAATTTTTAAAATTTTTTCATTAACTGCTGCAGCAGATAAAAAAAAAGTTCATAATGTTTATTAATAAATTTTTTTGCGGTATACCACAAAAAAGTATACAATAGATTTAACCTGTAATGAAAACGTTTTTACCTTTTTTACCTTAATCAACGTATTGTTTAAAATTTTCCATAACATTTTGGCCACGAAATTCCAAGTATTAGTTTGGGAAGGGGGCAATGATAGCACTTAAAAAAAACTCTACTAATATAAACTTGGATAAAATCTATCTATAAAATTCTCATTTATTAAAAAACTATTTTAACGTTCTAAAATTATGACCTTGTAAAGTTGACAACCTCCTCAAAAAGAGGAGGTTTCAAACTTTCCTGAAAATTAACTTATCTAAATTTTTTTTGGATAAATTAATTTTTTCGATGAATTTCAATCTTTTTTAAGATACTGCAATCTATTTTTTTGTTTCTTTTTTCCACATTTGGATCAGTGGGTCCCGATTTTTCAGGTGCATATTGTTCGCAAGCTCCTACCACTGTAATTTTTTGTAAAACATTCTTATTTGATACCAGGATCAATATTACAAAATTTAAAGTTTGTATCATCTTTAGAAGTTATCTATCTTGAACATCAAAAATTCAATAACCTGCCCTTTATTGAATTTTTGATGTTTTTTTTTTTTTTTTAAGTTTAAATAACAGTTGTTCAAAGTATCGTGGTTTTGAAACTGTTTTTGGTGGACATTTTTTTTATTAAATTATTTCCGCTAGGGAAGGCCACCTTTAAAATGTCTAGCGCCGGAATATATATATATATATATTTATATATATATATATATATATATATATATATATATATATATATATATATATATATATATATATATATATATATATATATATATATGTATATATATATATATATATATATATATATATATATATATATATATATATATATATATATATATATATATATATGTATACATATATATATATACATATATATATTTATATATATATATATATATATATATATATATATATATATATATATATATATATATATATACATATATATATTTATATATATATATATATATATATATATATATATATATATATATATATATACATATACATATATTATATATATATATATATATTTATATATATACATATATATATATATATATACATATATATACATATATATATATATATATATATATATATATATATATATATATATATATTTATTTATTTATATATATATATGTATGTATATATATATGTATGTATATATATATATATATAGATATATATATATATGTATATATTTATATATATATATATATATATATATATATATATATATATATATATATTTATTTATTTATATATATATATGTATGTATATATATATATGTATGTATATATATATATATAGATATATATATATATGTATATATTTATATATATATATATATATATATATATATATATATATATATATATATATATATATATATATATATATATATAGAGAGAGAGAGAGAGAGAGAGAGAGAGAGAAAGAGAGAGAGAGGGAGAGGTAGAGGGAGAGAGGGAGAGAGAGAGATAACGCTTAACTTTTTTAACGATTTTTATATTTCAAGATTTCTGAAGTCTTTCCTGATGAATTTATTCATATTGGTGGAGATGAAGTTGATTTTAAATGCTGGCTAAGTAACTCAGAAATTAAAAAGTGGCTGGCTAATAGAGGCAATGGAACTAATAATTCTGGGGAACGTAACGAAGCAACTCTACATAAATATTATTTTAATAAACTAATTAAAATTATTGATCGTTTAAAAAAAAAGTATATTGTCTGGCAAGATGTATTCGAAAGTGGTGCAGTTATTGAAAAAGATGCAATTGTTAATGTTTGGAAACATAAATGGAAAAAAGAAATGAGCCGTGTTACTAAAGCTGGGCACAAAGTTGTATTATCTTCATGTTGGTATCTTAACTACGTTAGTTATGGATTAGATTGGCCTAAATTTTACACGTGTGACCCTCAAGGGTTTAATGGTACAAAAAAAGAAAAAGACCTTGTTATTGGAGGGTCATGTGCTATATGGGGTGAATACGTAGATGCAACAAACATTATTCAAAGATCTTTTGGGAGAGCTTTTGCTGTTGCAGAGAGATTATGGAGCTCAGAAGATACAGTCAGTATATCAGAAGCGTTAATACGAATCTGGGAGCACCGTTGTAGATATATTGATAGAGGTATCCCTACTGAACCAGTTACAAGAAGTAAATTTTGCAGAAATGAATATGAACGGTAGTATGTGTTTTTTAAAATAGATATAAATGTTTGCAAACGTACACATATACTTATTTTTACAAAATATATATGGTAAGAACATCATCTGTCGATAAATAAATTTTGGTTGGTCTTCACAGTTAGATTTTATCTCATAAACTAAGTCTAAAACATAAACTCAAATGTATGATCAAAACCTAGTTTATTTTGAGATATTTATTAAATAAATATGTATTTATTTCCCTTTTCGTTTATTACGTTATAAATAATTTGAGGCTAAAAACGTTTTTGCACGAACAAATTGTTGTATAAATTAAGGCTGAATTAAGTGTCCTGACGGACAGGTGCAAATAATACTCCTATAGAAATATATTCAAAAATGAATGCAGTAAAACATTAAATTACTTTTTTTTCAAAATTTATTAACTTTTGCCATTTTTGAAAATGCTCTTGCTGCACAACAATTGGTTATGGGTTGTGGGAAGGGAAAAAACAATGGGAAGGGTAGAACAATCATATATGCAATTTAAAAATTGTGAAAAACCTTTAAACTTATTTCTCCGAACTGCTTATGAAAATTCTAGTACTGATATATTCTTTTCTATTACCATATGGTGATAGAGAAGAATATATCAATTCTTATGAACTTGGAAAACTGGACAATTTCATTATGTTTTTGTGTATCTAAGTCTAAAGGACAAATAGTACACAAGGATTTGGCAGCAGCAACAATGACAGAAACGGTCATTGTTGCTGCCAAATGGTCTAAAAACTAGTTAGAAAACCAAGTTTTTTCTCTTCAGACTTAAAAGCAAAATACCTTCCTATCAAGCAAATTTTCAACTTGTTTATAATAGGGAAAAAGTATTTAATTCTAAATTTGTCACTGCCGCCTAAAACCGCTTTACTTTCTTTTTTCTCACCAATTTCTACTATGTGCATCTTCTTTATTGTATTATCATGTTTGTAATGCTTAGAAAAAAGGGTTGAGAACCTTCCAACACCCTAGAATTTCATTAAAACCTTCCCGAGCAAAATAACGTTGCGAGAATCAAATTGTAGAATGACTCTGCCAAAGTTCCGGTATAAAAGCAACATCCAAAGTTTTCATTTTCCTAAAAAGTGCTTTATTTTGTGTCTGACGCTTTTCATCTTAATCAGAACAATTGATTCTAGATTCTCAAGAATACGACTGTAATTTGCTAGGCATAACGATAAATTTTAACTGAATTGGCTCTTGATGATCACCTTTTCTCACTCAGGTTTCTGATGGTAACTTTACTGTACTTTCACACCAACAGCTTCTTTGCTCACATATCGAATGGTTATTGCAAATTTGTCTCAGTGTGCCAGGTGATGGATCAACAATTAGTGAAAAATATTTAGCACTGGTCAGTTTGCTACCAATGTGTTGCAAAACCTTTTTGCCATTAAGAAGACGATTTCCTCATATATTGACAATGAAATGTATGAAACATTTCCTCTGTGATTTTTTAAGTGTTTAGCACGGAATGGGTCAAATTTTAAAAGAAATTTTTCTCCGAGAAAGTTTTCATTTTTTAAGTCGCATATTTCTGCTGAGTCATACCTAAGAGCTAGATCTCCATTGCATAAAATCTTTAAATATTCAATAACTCTTCTTACAACATCGTTCCGGTAAAGCTTTTCATCCTCCAATTGCTATTTCAAATGAGTATCAATTTTTCCAGGTGTTGCCATAAATTGAATAATTGCCTTAATAATTAGAATTTTTTTTCACATCAATTTTTTATGTTGAATCATCTTCGGAACTAACGGAATCTTCAGACGATCAAGATAGGATTATTTTTGATGATAATGACTAACTTGATTACAATAGAGCTGTTGTTTACCTAATAACAGCCTTATTCTCTAGGAATTTATTGTCGTTAGATTCTGAAGATTTACAAAACAAATCAATAACATCATCTATTTCATCAAGGACTCGACGAACTTCATTTGGATCATTTATAATTCTATTTCTTGTCAAGTCATCTGCAATATTAGTAAAAAGTTATCTGCAATAGGATGGCTTTGAGAAATAGAATATCTCAAAATGTGAGAGCAATCAGGTAATGTAATGTATTATACCATATTATACTAAACATAATTTCATTGACAAGTTTTTAAGTTTCGTTTGAAAATTTTTTTATGCTCAAAGGTTTTGACCCTCCCCAAAATGAGGGGGTTGTAAATTTTATATGACCATATCTTTTGAATGCAGTAATATACTGTGAATATATTACTGGATCACTTCTTATCAAAAGGTTGGGTACTATGTCATCATTACATTCCTTTTAGATATAGTTATTATAAAGTTCAATCTAGCTTTGCGAATTTCATTATTCAGAGCCTCTAGTTACTCCTCACAGTAAAAACTTCTATTTGAAGTAGGGATGATAAAATCTTGAAGATAGAAGAAGGGAATTCTAGTTCCTAGGATATCTGCACCCCTTGTTAGAAGAATTTATGAACAGTTGGTGAAATCACATACCACTAGTAATTTTTTAGTATAAGAGCTGTAGTTTCATAGCAACTCTATTCAAAAAGTTCAAAGTTCAACTCATAACAGAATTATACAAATTTTAGAATTGTCCTCAATCCGATAATTACATCAAATACCACCTCTGCAATATCATCAAAAAAGTAAACATTTTTAAATGCTCTTCTACCAGAGTTCTTGTCATTATCAGTTATATGACTTAGCTGATAATGATAAGAACACTGTTTCGTCATATCAGCTATATGACTTAGCTCCACTCTAAACCTTAATTAAAGCTTTATCAGCAGTGAATTTGGCAAAGTATCTTTTAATATTAATTTTGTATCCTAAACGTCAACTATTCTCATAATATTTTACGTTTAGGATACAAAAAAAATCTGAGCCAGCAATGCAGAGAAGCCCCAAAGATTTTTTCATTTACTGGTTTGATCAGATAAATGATTTTAAGATAACTGGGCTTGGCTACAAAAAGTTAATTGGTTGGGAGGATAATGGCTGTTAGAAAAAGACTTTGCGTTTTAACTTGAGCCCGCTAATATTTTTTATTACCATCAAAACTACCTTTAAAGTAAAGTATACCTTTAAATTTCCCCCACTTTCAGCGAATGTTTTCAAAGATCCGTGACATTCAGTTTAGTTAGTCAGAGCATGATTTAATAGTCTCTGTAGAGGCGATGAAGCAGTGTTTCTGTCACCTTTACACCTATATGATAACACTTCTGCCTTCCATTCTTAATATCATAAAGTGAAAGATAAATATCTGCATTCTATAATATGGATGAATTTCTAATAAATTAATACTGTTAATCAGAATGATCCTGCTAAATTTTTAAACTCAAAGTATTTGGTTTTGATTTTTATTGGAAAACCTCCATCCTTGACCTTCTTTATAAGGATTTGTAACATTTTTCATGAGAACAACAAAGTCCTTTTTAGTAGATCTCCAGAAGCATATTTTATCAAAGCTAGTTCCATTGCTTTAGCTAAATATTTAGCCAATTTGGCAACCTTAGACAAGGTATTATTTAATATTTTTATAAAACTATTTTTTGAATTTGTTCAAATTCAATTTTTTTATGATTACCTTAAATCTTTTGCTTGTACCATTTAAACCTTTCCATTCCTTGTTGTTTCTACATAATCCTGCTTCAACTTTTTTTCTGTCTACTGCTATACCTTTCTCGAACTAAGTTCGCTCATGTTTATATATAGATATATATAGTTATATATATATACCTATAGTTTTCATAAGGTTTATTATTTTAGGTTCATTGATATTTCATGAAATAGAACCTTCAGTCTACAAAACTCAAGTAATATGGCCTCAAATAAATTATCATGATCAATTTTTAACTTATAAATGTGTTCTATGAAATAATCCTCAGGAACACATACAAATCCCCCGGGAATAGTCTCTTAAAATAATCCTTCGAGAAAAAACCCCGGAAAAAAATTCACAGATAAAAAATCCCGAAAGATAAAATTCCTCGGCAAGAAAATCTAAAATTGAAACGGAGTTTTAAAAAAATAATTCTTTAGCTTCCAAATACCTTTAACAAGTGCTTTTAAATGAAAATTTGAACTGTTTTTTCCCATATCAATCTTAAAAGAGGGACATTATTTTGCGATAAAAAAATTAAATAATAAATCTCAAGAAAAGGTCAAAAAATTAGTGAACCCTTGGAATTTAACCAAAAAATAAATAATTATAGTCTACTGGTGGTATTAGTAGATGCTATGGTATTAATTAAATTAAATTTCAATCTAAAAGTTCTTTGAAGTTATTTTGACTTTGGGATTTTTAAAATTTAGGATTCGTTTAAATTTTTTAAATGAAAAAACTCCAATTTTATAAAAAAAAATTTATTTATTTTCTGGTTATTTTCTGGATCTTCCAATCTGATTATTTAGAAGCAAGAAGTGTCAACTAATAAAGCAGATTTATTTTATTTATATAAAAAAAGATCTGAAAAAAAAAAAGATTTTTATTTTTGTTTTGTTTTAATATTTATTTGCTTAAATTTTCGTAAGATTAGTTATATTCGAACTTTTTTTCGATTAAGAAGTTAGTGGCCTCAATTAGTGGCCTCGATCAGTGGCCTCGATCAGTGGCAGAACAAGACTTTTCTGAGTCAGGAGCAGGAGGCTCCTTTTCATGTTATAAATCAAAAATGTTACTTTCAGGGTTTTTCTTTAAATCTTTTATTTTAAATCAGGACAAAACTGCGGAGACTGGGGCTGGAGTCCTCCCAAGCCTCTTTATTAGTCCATCGTTGTAAATAAAGTAAATAACTGATTTAGGGCTCAAAAAACTCTCGCTTAACTCAGAGAAAACAAACTGTATATTATTCCATAAAAAAATACAAAAAGAAACCTTCCTCTTAAGTTGACCTTACCTTAAATGATTAGTTAAAAAACGTATAAGATTCTTAGGAATTTTTGTTAATGAGAATTTATCCTGGCTTCCTCAAATAAGATATATTTAGTCAAAGATTACCAATATAATTAGTATGATGTATCGAGTTCATTCGTATATCAATAAACAAAGTCTCAAAATAATATATTTTGGATTAATTCATTGCTTCATAAGTTATACAAATATATCATGGGCAAGCAATTAACCATCAAAACTTAAAAAATTTATAAGTATCAGCATTATAACTATATCTATCAGCATTTATACAGTATTCAACAACAATCTCTCTCCTGAAAACCTAAACAACAAGTTTGAAATAAATAGATTTGAAAACTATTATCTAAGAGCAAATATAAGTAACACATATAAACTGCCGCAAAACTCTAATAAATATACTGAATATATCATTGCATTTCAAGGTCCAAATATATGGAATATCTACCAAAAAGGATTTAAATGTATGACAAAGTCATTAAGTTCATTTAAGTTTCAAATTAAATAAGAAGTTCTTTAAAGCTTGAGTAACTCTAAAGTTAAAAGTAACATCAGAATTCTTTTTTAGGTTTAAAGCTTCTTCATGTGTGTTCAAATTTAAATATATATTTTAAATTTAAAATATCTGTTCAATAGGAAAGAATTTTTTAATAAAGCAAATAATAACTTGTTCTTATTCAAAAGAGTTAGAACAAAACAGGAGTTTTTTACAATTTAATGTATTTTATACACTAAAATATAGGTCTATGCTGAGGAAACTAAGACCTAAAGTAGTATTTGAATACTAATTTCTGTCTATTCAAGACAGTTTGTTCAACAATGTGGAGAGTTTATTTTAAATTTGAACACACATGAAGAAGCTTTAAACCTAAAGAAGAATTCTGATGTTACTTTTAATGGAAGAAGAGTTTAATTTATCAATAACTTTTATTAACTCAAGACCCGGAAGAACAATTATTCACTTTTTGTTGGATTATGTAAAATATTTACAGTAATATTATTAAATTTTAAATTTTTTTTGTTGCTTAATATTTTGTTTAACTTATTTGACATTTATTTTTAAAAGAAAAATTTAACGGGTACCTAAAATGGTAAAATGGGCTTATGCCCCCCTCAATTTTACCCTTTGCCCCATTTGTGATCCTTAGCATTTTTTTTTAACTTTAAAAACGCTATTTTCTATTTTTATGAAACAAATACTCTTGATTAAATTTTTTTATTTTGTAATTTGCAACTAGCACACATAAATGGGTTTATGCCCCCTTTGTGTTTACCCTTTTGCCCCATTTATGACCCTTAGCAATTTATTCGGATATTAAAAAATCTCTTTTTTATTTTTATAATACAAATACTTTTAAATAAAAAAGGTTTCACTTGAGTGACACTCCATTAAACCTAAACTCATCTCTGGTCCACAGTGATTTACTCAAAAAAGCATAATAACCAAAAAAAAATACCCAATGTCTTTTAACGAAGTTTTTGTTTAGTTCGGTTATATCAGCGGATGTTTTATAATTTTGGAAAAATTGACGTATTCGCATTCCCTTTATTAGTAGCTTTTGCATCTCCTGGTCGCATATTGTTAGAATATAAGTATAAGAATCAAAGCCACAGTAGTTGAAAAATTATTATCTTATGAACTTAAAAAAAAGGCCATAAGTAAGTAGTTCATTATATTTAACTAATCTGTAAATGTTGAATATAATTTGATAAGATTAAGTACAGCACCTCAGTGGCGCCACTAGGGGCGTGCAACACTTGCTGTAGTACAGGTTTTAAGACCATTGTTGCTAACAATTATTTTTAATGGTATTACAAATTATGTATAAAAGTTCAACGCGATAGGTATTGATCATTAGAATTATTAATTATGAACGCGACTTCACGGTTGTTGTTGAAGGCCGAGAAGTTGCTCAAATTTTATCATTTAGAGAAAGTAAAAGTTGTAAGAAGGTTTTCGTAGGTAAACCTGCGGAAGGATCATAACCGATGGTTTGACACACACTTTTGTTAATGTTTGCTTACTGTGAACTGTTTCGAAGCGCGTTTAAACGAAAGTTCGCGCTTGCAAAAGGGATAAACAAGTTGACTGTCAGTTGCCATTTTAAAATGCTGCTATTGTGGGCTTCGGTTGTCTACACTACGCTGCCCCTTTTGTTGCTGTTTTTCGTTCGGTGTGCAACCTGTAGGTTGTATTTTAGGCAGCCGTGGCGCAGTGGTAGCGCAATTTCCTCAGAAACAAAAAAACCGTGGTTCAAACTCTATCTCTGGGCTAGTTTTGCGACAACGGTTAAGAAGAATGCGTGAACTTCCAATTGTGATATATGTCTGTGATAAGACCGTAAGGACTGCATCAAAATGCATATAAAGTAAAACATGCTAACAATACGCTCGTATAATCCTCGTCCAAAAACTGTTTATCTGTCAATGAAAAGTCTAAACAATATTGCATATTATTTTGAAAACAAAAATCATGATTGGGGCATCAAAAAGTTAGCTTAAATCTTCTTTACCGGATGCACACTGTTATGCACAATATTTTATACAGAACTTCATAAGATTTAAAATGTTGGTTCTTATCTATTTAATTAAAAATTAATCTACTTAGTTAATCAGTAATTTGATATATATTGCTTTTTGATAAGAGGTTTCTAGTTAAATGCTCTTCCGAGGTGCTCTGTGATAAGACAGTAAGGTCTTCTAGGAGCACCTTAATAACTACAAAAACAAAAAATTTCTAATTTGTTTCTAATAAAAAAAAAAAATTTTAAAACTAAGTGGCTTTACAATTTAATTTATAGAACATTGAAAATTAATTTTTTTTATCAATAAACTTTTTTTATTAAAATCAACAGATTTATAAAAATATTGTAATATTTTATTTATTTAATTATTAAGGTGCTCCTAAAAGACCTAACAGTCTTGTCACAGAGCACCACGGAACAGTATTTAACTATAAAGTTCGCCACGTACTTCTTATTATATCTGGGAGGGTTAACACATTAAAAGGCCCGTTCTTACGTTCTTGAATAGTGCCCTTGATGAACTAAATAGAGCTTAATAAATATGAAAATATTTGTAGTTTGTTAAAGTTTGAAAAAACTCCTTTTAATTAGTACTTGAAATAACTCTAATAGCTAGATACTAGATAGCAGGTATCGTTTAAGTCGATACCAAAAAGGATGGTCTCGTATCTTGTGGTATCGCTTTTATACTAAAGTCGACACTATTAGTGTTGGCTTGATACCTCACGATACCTAGAAGGTGGACTCGTAACGTGTGGTATCGCTTATATCCTAATATTGATGCCAACAGTATTTGTTCGATAACACACGATACCGAGAATAAAAAGAATAGTATGGTGTTGAATGGTCGCATAGTCACTTTAGCTTACTTTAGTTGATGAATGTTGAATACAGAACGAAAGACTATACTAAAGGAGAACTACGATATTACGCTAGATTTAATTAAAGTAACAATACCAGATGAGAAGTTAAAATACGGAGGCAATACCATACAATCGATGAAATTAAAATAACAATACTAGATAAGAAATTAAATTACGTGAGTGATACCTCGCAATGAATTAAATTAATGTTGCGACACATTTGAAACATTAAATGATAAATGCGGTATGATACAATACCACACAATCCTTGAGAATTTATATTATACTATATGAGTCAAATATATAGGGAAAGTGAGGAGAAGTGGGACACGGAAGAAGTAGGACATCTTAAAAATTCCAACTAGGAAAGGTCTCCCATCATCGTTATTTAATGTAAACAATGAGATTTTTCCCCCTCTATTTAGCAAACATTGCTTTGTTTCCTGCATGTGGTAAAAACCACCTTTTTGATAAGCAACCAAAAATAATAATTTTTTAGAAGGTGGAATTACGATTTTACGATTTACGATTTTAACTACGTTGTTAATAAATCACTTTTTTCATTTTACCCCATGGCTTATTTTACCTCAATAGCACATTTCTTCTAAAATCAAAAATAGTACATTGTAAACTTTATATTTTATTTTAAGCTGCTCTCCATCTTGTGGGATGGAATCAGAGTCCAAAATGAAGCTTTATTTGTTAAAACTTATTTGGTGCAGTAGATAGATGAAGTAACCTATTCACAGTGCCCTTGTACTAGGGCACAGTGAATAAATGAACACAGCCGTGAATTAATGATAGTGAGTAGGGGCATAGTCAAATAGCTTTAAGGCTGAGGGAGTAAAGACGCTGTACCCTATACTTTTGGCATACTTTTATTAATTAGGTTAGTATAAAATCAAAAAAATATACATTTTGAAAATTAAGAAGAAAAAAAAAAGAGTTTAATTGATAAAAAAAGTTATAAAAATATTAAAAAATCAAAAAATTATAAAAATATTATAATTCATAACTTAAAACTAATGAATTCATTTTCATATAGTTTGTCTGTTAAAAATGCATGAATTTAATCTTTAAGTTCATTAATTGGGCATAGTGAATCAACCTATTCACTGTACCCCAAATCACTGTGCCCAACCATAACAAATTAATTTTGAAGTCTAATTTCTTGAGACATGAATGTTGATAAAAAAAAAGCTAAACTACTAAAAAGAAGCATAAATATCAATAATTCGAATGAAAAAATTCAACTTTTGAAATTATTTTAACCATGATCTCCATAAAAAACATAAGGACGGTAAGAAAATTAACTTTAGTTAGCTAAAAACAAAAATTACCTACCAAAAACCGGTAGTCAAAAATTATGTGATAACAACTATAAAAAAAGATGACTGATATATGAGCACATAAAATGATTAACATTATCAAGATGAACAAAGTTCTAATCTTTGTAGAAATACCAATTTTTCACTGTGCCCCTCGATCCTCGATTATCTAGTGTCTAATAATGACGTATAAAGTTCCAAAAACCTTTTCAATTATTAATATTGAGATTGTTTTTAAAGTTCAGTTAAAAAAACTAACAAAGTGGATTTTTAAGAACAATTTATGTTGGTTTATTGATAAATCAAAGATGTTAATATAAAGTTTATAAAAGCTCATATATATTGTTAAAAAAGATAAAAATTATTTTAAAAGAGACTTTGACTTGGTCAAAAAAAAAACATAAATGAGGAAGCTTAAAAACACCGCACAAAATGAAATAAGAACTAAAATTCCAAAATCTTCAGGTCTATAGAGAAAAATAGTTAATATATATTGCGTTGAATCTAAAATAGAATTTAAAGAAAATTGTACTCCACCAACAACCCCACGAAATTCTTCTTCAACATTTTCTTGTTGCAGCTGTGTTATGGTGAGATCAAACATCCACAACCCAGTACGGGATAAAATTATCCCAATCATAAGCAACAATATAGAAACGTAACTAGGATTATGAGGTTGTACATAAAATAAACTGTTATTACTTGTTATAGAACTATTTACAATAGTATTATTTATTCCAGTAATATAATTTTTTGAAGATACTTTAAAACTACTCGGACTTCCAGGAGCCCAAATCGATGCAACGCATAACAATAACATGCTGCATTTAAAACCAAGTGCAATAATGCCAGTTTTTACCAAGCCAATTCTATTTCTTAAAAACGAAAAAATCATTGTTCCCAAAATCCCAAATAAAGCTCCTGTCCCAAATAAAATGCTAACGTAAATCTCCTTTACCGACTGCGAGTAAACATATCCAACTGTTACTGAATTAAAACCAAGTACAGTAAGGGATAATATAGCAAAAGCAACACCAGCCAAGAAAACATTTTGTCTTTTATATATATTCAAAACCGCATAAAAATTTTTAAATTTTTCAAATGCACTTGACCTTGATGCTACTTGGCGGTCATTTTCAGTTTCTTCTAAGGCGGTATACTCATTTTTTTGTTTTTTTGTTAACTCGGGAACTGTTTGATGAATATGACGTAACTGAAAATATTCTGAAAAAACAGATAAAATATTCCATACACATATAAAAGCTATTCCAGATAAATCAGATATCAATGACATGAGAGAGCCAACAGCAACTGGGGCAAGTATTGTGACGGTCAAATCGATTCTACGCATTTGAGCGTTCAACCTTGCCATACTATCTTTGTTATTAAGGCAAATCACAACCACCCAATCTCTAGTAATTGATATCTGTTCACCTTGTGACGCTAGATTTGCTGCAGCTCCAAATAAAATTATCAAAACTTCGAATAACTTTAATATATTTTTGTTTTCTGTGATTCTAAACAGAATTAAACTAACAAACAATGCTGAACAAACTATAAAGCCATTTTGTAACAACAGTAAGGTGCGTATAACTACTAAACGGTTATTTCGATCAATCCAGCTCCCAATGGCTGGAGCAAACAGTATAACTGAACTTGTTACCACTGTGCCGTATATGGCTGTAAGTTGCAAGGACCCAGGTGATATTTTTACTAAATATAATCCAACAGCAAAATTCCACATGCGATCTCCCCACGAAGAAAAGAAAAAGCTTGAGCATAGCCAGTATCCTGCCCACATTTTTTCTTTGTTTCTTTGTTTCTTTTGTTTTTGCTAAATTTGACTAAATATAATGTTGATAATTATTTCCTACTTTAAAATTATTGTCAACATGATAGAATGAATTATAACTAAAACATGTAGATTTTTACAATGATTATAAATTAAATTTAATGTTATTTATAAAAAAATACTTTTGTAAAATAATTGTAAAAATCTATTATTCGCGGTAATAATTTCGAATTTACCAGTGCATTATTCTCAAAATTCTTAACTTTTATTAAAAAAATGTTTTATCGTTAATATAATTAATCTTTTCAATCAAAATATAATTTTTTTGTTTTGTTTAAATAAATATTTTTAAATATTAGAACTTCTTATTGCCTTGTACTTACAAGTATTTTTGCGCTATCTTTTAATTATTTCATGTGTCGGATTAAAACTTACTTGCACAAAGAGTTTTTATTGATCGTTTTGATATTTTGATAATTTTTCGAATAAATAAAATTTTTATTTAAATTTTATATTAATACTTTTTTATAAGCGTTTTTCGTGAACCATTTTTTTAGGTAAACCGGCGGGTAAAACCAAAATGAAGTTAAGATTTTCACTATGCGGGAAAAGGAGGATGTTTCCCAGGAACACACAATCCCGAATCGACTTGAAACTTTAAAAAAATTATGTTTGAACTTTATCTTTTATGTGTAAATCTAAGATTAAAGTTAAATAAAAACGGTATTTATTAAAATACTATTTAAAATACTAAGTAACTATTGAAACAAACAAAACGTAAAATTAAGCTTTTAAACAAAATAAATGTGCGGTAATTTAAATTTGGAACATTTATAGAGCTTATCAGTTCATGACGTCAAAAGATTACAAATAACAAGATTAAGTTACGTAACGTCGTGGTATGTGGCAAATTTCATCAAGGATTTCAAGCATGTCCTTATATTCTAAAAAATACCTCTTAATATTTTTGGATATTTTTCATTTTACTTCATATATTTTCTTTCTTAATTTTATATGTATTTTTTCTTTATACATTTTTTTATTTTTTTACAATATACATGCTTTAAATCTTGAATTCTTGTCTATATACTAAATCTATAGCTTAAAAATTCTTTACCCTTTTTCAAATCTATAGCAAAAAACTGGCATCATTGCAATTTATGAATATTAAAAAGACAAAAATCGTTTAAATAGTTGACAGAATAAGTTTTTTAGATTTAAACAAAATTTGCTCTTAATATATATATTTTTAACTTAATTGCGCTAAATGTTTCACAACATAAAAAAAAATATGTACAATAGGCCAATATGGCCGTAATGACCAGTGTAACCATAAGGAGAGAATTTATCACAAGAGAGACTCGATTTTAGATTTGGCTGTATAATGAAGATGGAACTTATTTTCAGGAATACATTGTTACTAAAAAAGGATTTTCCCTAAAGTACTGAAGGCTAAATTTTTGAAATAATAGACGTAGGAGATCATTTGCTTTGTTTTCTTGCAAATGAACTATAGCGTTGTTTTGATTTTTGGTTAAATTATAGACTGCGAGGAAAAACTTAGTTTTAGATCTTCTTAGTTTTATTTACTTACGTTGCGTAATTTATGGACAACCGCCTATGTTAACAACAAAAATACGAATATGTGTCAATACACATATTCGTATTTTGTTGTTAACAACATAAAATGAATACCTCAAAGTAGTGAAATTTAAAATTAACGCGACCTTGTTAGGCTTAGTTCATTTTAATTGTTTACGCATTGTGTTTGGATATCTTGTTTGTTAGTTTTAATTTTTTATTTATTTTTAATTTAACATCTTTATTTTTGAATTATAGGATCGTCTTTAATTTACGCAACGCTAAATTTCACTAAAAAACAAAACAAGAGATCAAAAGTTTTCCCTCGCAATGAAAAATCAAAAATGGCGGATTAAGATTAATGAAAATTGCCGCGTAAAAGAGCTTTAGAAATCTTACTTCTGTTTTTTAAGTAAATTTAACGTTGTATAATTATGCACCCGATCCACAGTGGGTCTAACAGTGGCGGGTTAAGACTTTTAGGGCCCTAGGCTATTTTTGTTTTTGGAGGCCTTTTTATGGGCCAGAGCCTAAAAATGACTAGGAAAAAAAAAAAAAAAAAAGGTCCTCTAAAATTTTTTGGGGCCCCTAAATTTGCGGAGCCCGGGGCTATAGCCCCCTAGCCCCCCTTGATCCGGCAATGGGTCAAAGTGTAGCAAAATTAAAAAAAAAATTGTGTTTAATGTAGGTTTAATTGTAATAGTTGTTTTCCATACATATAAGGTATAATAAAATGATACTTGTTAGTCATTAGCTTTTAAATTAAAGTTTATACGACCTGTTGAATTTTTTTATCGATTTGTTAATTTTAAAAAAAAAATTAATTAAAAATATAAGTTGCTACACATAAATTGTTTTATAAATTAAAATATATGCGCTATTATTTTTTTATATATAGATAGATTTATCTTTTTCTAAATAACAGAACTTCGCTGCAAGTTTTTTGCTTGTAAGTAAGAAATTTTAATTAACTTTGAAGTTTGTATATTTTTTGAGTGCAAATTTTTACTTTCTTTAGTTAGTTAAAAAAACCTCCAAAATCCTCCAGTCTGAAAATACTTTAAAAATTTTATTAAGTATATATATGGTATTTTAAAATTGGTTTGAGCCTCAACAAAGTACCACTTTTTCTAAAAAATAACTTTTAGATAACAGCAGGGGTAGCGCCAGCATTTTTTGGTCTTCGAGATATCTAAATTCCAGACATGGAGCAAACTCCAAACATTTATATATGTTTATGCTTATTTCAAATATGGATGCTTTGCATAAAATTGCGATGATTGGAGCCTGGGAACAAAAAAAACCCTAAAAAGTCCCCTATAACTTAAAAATTTCTTCAAAAAATTTTTTCTTAAAAAAAAAAAAGTCCCTTAAAAAAAGTGGGGGAGCACAGTCCCCCTTCCCCCCCTCCTTCCAGTGTCTTCATCCCTGATTTAGTATATGTCGTTGGCCCTGATTTATTAAAAAATAATTTCTGATCCACTGTGCAATCCTAAGTAAAATTTGTCGATCTCATCGAAATAACATTTCCCTATGTTTTCCTATTTCATCAACTATGTATTCGCAACACCGTCACACATGGTATTATTTTTCGATGTCATTGACTTACATAGATCACAGTAGATCACAGGCTTTTATTAATTAAAATGGCGTTTAAAAAAGCGCGAAGCTTTCGAGCGCGAAGGAAAGTTACCATAAATGTTGTTGGAACATGTAAAAGAAAAGTTACAAAAAGTTGGTACAGCTCCAACATTACTAATATTCAACCTTTGAAAGAAGGTAAAGGTATATTTAGAAGAAATTTGTATAAACATATAAACACGTGTTTAAAATTTAAATTTTTGATTAGTATTTCTTGAACGTCATTAAACCACATTCAAGAATGTGGTTTAATAACGTTCAAAAAAGACTAATCAAAAATTAAGAACGTATGAAAGGATAACGTTTTTAATACTTTATCTAAAAATAATATATGTGAAAAATAAATATATATGTATTATGTTAAGGTGACCATTTTTTTTTCAATGAAAAGGAGGACAAAATTTTTATACTTTATCTAAAAATAATATATGTGAAAAATAAATATATATGTATTATGTTAAGGTGACCATTTTTTTTTTCAATGAAAAGGAGGACAATTTTTTTGTAAAAGTATTACATAAATAAATAAAATACTTCATTAAAATAAAAATATGCTAATCATTCTTTTATTCCTTTTAATTAAGTTGTCATAAAGTTTAAGATTAATTAAAATAAAATATCTAGTTAAATTGGTATTTTTCAATTGAGTGGATATTTTTTGCCAATATTTCGTTTTCTAACAATATGCTTGAAATTTCAGAGCAAGATATGTGTTTCATATTAACTTTTACAGTGAGTGCTGCTGCTAGAGTATCAATATTTAATCTCGATTTTTCACTGGTCCAGAAATCATTACCAATTGAAAAAACTCTTTCAACTGCTGCATTAGTACCAGGACAGCTCAACACAAACTCAACAAGAATAGCTAAATTTTCATATGGAATGTGTTTATTTTTAAAGTGGTCAAATATTTCCACCCATCTTTTATCAATTTCAACATTTATTTTTCCATTGTTCTAATTTATCTGAACTTAAATATAAATTTACTCTTCTTATTTCATCATACAGACTATTGTCATTAATTTTAATATCAGGAATTTCTGTTAATAAAAACTCAACACACTATTCAATATCTGCCCAATTAACATGTGAACTCAAAAAAACACCATTGAAAACTGTTATATGATGTGATATTTGTCTCAGACCATTCTTCGACATATTGGAAGCATGTTTGGTAAAAGTTCTGCACTTCTTTGGTAAATTTATCTCTTACCCCAGGATTTGACTCTTGTAAATTTGATAACTTTTTTTTTATCATTAGAGGAATAAAATCTTTAAATCGTGATTAATATTGAAGGATAAAATCGTTTAAAATAAGGCTAACCTCTGCAGCAGATATATTATCGCTTTCAATCTTTTGAATCGTTTTGTGAAATAAAGTTGCCTTATTGTGTACAAAATACATAAATATCTCTGATAATTCATTATTGAAAAGTAACTCAAGAATTTTTGGACATTTTTCTAAACTTAAAAAATATGATCGGAGGGGTTCAAATAATTTTAAAACACGCTCAATAGCAGGTGTTAAAGCAAGCCATCTTACTTTCGAATAAGTAAGATGGCTTACTATCCTAAAAGCTTTTTGTATTCAACATTTGCTTCTTTGCAAAATTGTTTTAAAGTAGCAACACGAACTGTAAAACGACTAAAATACAGATAAACTATGGTTATTATAAATTCTACATCAATTGGCAGTGCATATGATGTTGTGTTAATTGCATTTGACAGAATATATGCGTTGCAACCAATTCCTAGTATTTTTTTTTTGAAGTAAGTCCTGTAATTTTACATGGACATTATTTACTCCTTTCCGTTTTCGCCCACCAAAATTTGTATTTGTATTATCAGCTGTTAGTGCAAC